AAGCATGCACCATACACAACAGCACATGGAAGGTAATAACAAGAAGAAGATGAAGAAGAAGAAGAGGGAGGGGGGTTTCTTTTCTTAGCGTGATCTTGACTTTCCCTACCTCAATTATATTTTGTCCACAACGATTGAAGCAATTTCCCTTTCCCATACTTTGTTTTGCAGTGAGATACAAGACTTTCCAGTAACGCAAGCCCTCCTCTCCCCTGTCAGCGAGCCGCCTAGCCCACAGGAATTTGAAAGTTCTATATACATGTATCAAAGGGTGCTTTATCTTTTTCTTTGGACACCAATTTTCGTAAACCTATGAAAGTCAATAATCATTTTTTTATTTAACTCGTTAGTAAATTATTCTTTTATCTAGAAAATAGAAAAAGAAAATAGTGTTTTTGTTTTTGTCAAATAATCTACTTATTAATTGTTTTACTAAGCATTGGACGTAATATTTCTTAATAATTTAATTTTTTTTTAAATATAATATCTTTTAACTTTCATTATAACACGTCTTTTACTAAAATATGTGATAATTTAATTTACAAGTCTTATCTGGTGGCTAATTAAATAAAAATAATTAAAAAAAACATCATAGCAAATATGCATGGCACCTTCCATGTAATTCAAAGTAAACGACACGGATAAGACTTTGGTTTTTAATCCCCACAAGTATCTGTTGATGTAATGGCAAATTGTCTTATGGTATTTTTCGTTTTTCCAATTCCTCTGTTTACCTCTTTATCCACAGTTGACAGGGCTCCCTCCTCATACCAGCCCCCTCAAATTATTGTTACCGCCTGCCTTAAAATCCAAAAAACCATTAAAGTTAAAACAGGTCCATCTTGTTTTATTGTTTTGCAAGAGCAGGATCAATCAATCGAGAAGGGTGAACGGAGACTGGATCACTGCCCTTGCATGCGCACAATCCAATTTGACTAAAGAAACAAGTTATATAACCTATAAAGTTAAAACAATTTGTATTTTGGAATTTCGGAAGCAGGGATTTGCAAATGAAATTTTGTGGATAAACAGATGCTCTCAACAAAAAATGTGATTTGATTGGCAAAGAAAAAGAGTGATTGAACATTTTCTTTGTGCACCGAACATGGCCAACTAGTCGATGGCCTTAACCCCCTAGGCCAGTAAGCTAATTTTCATTTGGGGATTTGATGTTCATGAACCTTCCCTTAACAGTAGTCTTGATGGAACAGAGCATAACTTTCACTTCACATTTACTAAAAATTAGTAGTTAAGAAGATTGGGAACTGTCTAGTAAAAGGAATTTCCTTTCTTTTTCTCTCTCCTTTTTTTAAAAATCTTTCTCTCTATGATTCATCTTCCTTGCAATATATTCCATCTATTGCATTTGAGAGCACACTGAAAAAAAGTACCAAGGCAGATTCTCTCTTTTCTCTACCCCTACAATTTCATCAGCCTAGGCCCACTTGTTGGGTCCTTGGTGAATTTTCCCGAGATTTGGCTTTTCGGTATTATTGTTGGGGTTGAAAAAAAAAATTAGATTGAGAGTATTTTGAAAACAATTAAATAATTATTGTAAATAATTGTGATATTCTCATTATAATTTTATTATTATTTTTAAATGTATTAAGATATTTTTAAATTTTAAAATATTTAAATAATTAAAGTGATAGTATTCGAATATTTAATCTATTGATTGATGTTTATTTTTTTTATTTAAAAAGTAAAATTTATTTTTTAAAAAATTTAAAAAATATTAAAGTGATAATTTTAATAATTAAAAAAAATAAGCAAGCTTTTTTGGTTATTTGATATTTAAAAGGTGTTTTTGAGGATAATCATAAAAAAGCACATGTGGAAGAAGCACTAACACTATACCAAACAAACCCTCGAGTCAATTGATTGCTATACATACAAGGGTCAACACCCATGATTTGATTCTACAGCACTCCAGTTTTCTTCACTGGACTCGATCCAAAAGGGAGATAACGAGGACAATTGTCGCTTGCATTGCATGTGTATACAAACTTGTGAGTATACAAATTTCTCTTGAAATACTTAGAATGTTCAAATTGCTTTGAACATTCTTTTGATTCGGTAGAAAAAAAATACTAAAAGAAAATCACAACATTTCGTAATTTTAAAAGATATTTGGTATCTATCATTTTTGATATTGTTGTCATAAGTAAGATTTGAAAAATAATATAAAATGAAGTTATTTTATCACTCGATTGCTTAATTTCGTTGTTACTAATTAACTCTCATCATTATTCCATTATTTTCTTAATCTTAATTTTGTCATGAATTTCTTGCTCGTGTTGGATTTTAATTTTTATTTTCTTAAAGAAAAGGGTAGTCAAGAATTCATGGCATTAGAAATAATCGTCAATGGAAAATAAAATCTTTCAATGATTATTAATGTTTCAAAGTCCTCGGGTCACAGAGTAACGCTGAAACTATTTATAAATAACGTTGACTCTTCACCGCATATAAGTTGGTTCAAAAATTGTTGATTGCAGTGGCCACCACAGGCAGCAAATGCAATTGGATTGGATTAGGTAAAGCACAAACAGGTGTTGTGCAATCCTAAACCCATTTTCTTACACTAAAAATTACAAGCAAAAAGGATTAGCACAACCATGGATGGGGAAAGTGATGACTAGGAAACAAATGACAAGGCTGCTATCCAGGAGAGGGGAAGGAAGGAATTATGTGACAAAGCCCATGATTTGAAAACAAAGTCGGATGGATTTTTAAAATTATAAAATACATGGAAAGTAATTAATTAATTAATTATTGGGCAGATGATAAACTTAAGAGGGTCCCAATCCTCGACGGTAATAATGAAAATGTTGAGACATTTGTAGCTTCCTCTCCGACCAAGGGCTTGGTGCCGCCCACTTGCAATGCTAGGGCTCATAGCCAAGTTAATTACCAATCTTTTTTGTCAAGGGGGACATCGACTAAGATTTGACAAGTTGATAGCAGACTTTGAAACAGCATTTGGGTTGGAATTTTTACCACTTTCTCCACCTTTTCTTTTTCCCATTTTATTCCTTTTTTCGAGTAATATCTTTGGCTTACAACGGTTTAGCACATCTTCTATGTTTTTATTTTTCTTTTCCTTTTTTTAAGTTTTCAAAGAGGCAACAAACAGTTTAATTTTGAAATTTTAAATGTTTTGGTAGTAAAGTGACATGTGATGACTGATGAGGGGTGACTTCTATTTCTATAATCTCCAAAATCATAATGCTAATTTTTCGCCCTTTTAAATTGTTTTAGAGAGAACTTATACATTAAGGGGCACCAAATTCCTGCTTTTAGTAATTTAGATAAAATAAAATTGTCAAATAAGAAACCTTAATTAATGAGATTCATTCAGCATTTAATATCCTCTTCAAAAAAGATCATATCTTATATCTTTTTGTTATCTTAATTAATTAAAATTCAAATTCTTTCATCAATGTTTTTTAGTATATTTTGAACAAAAATGAAGGAAGAGAAAAATTAATTTGAAACTTATGAGTATTTTGTTCCCAAATTTCGGAAGGATTATTTTATTTTGAAAGGTACGAAGAACTTTAATAAAATGGGTCAACAAAAAAAATCAATAATAATTAAACATACTTAACATAATAGATATATGAATGAAAATTATTACAAAATAATGTTAAAATCTCTAATTCGAGGAGTTCTTATTTTTACTAATTTGTTTGTCATATTATTAATTACTTTCGATTCATGATAGAAAAGAAATCAATAATTTTACAGTTGATACTTTCGATAGAGCTTGATACATGATCCAATTTTTATGGGACGGTAGAATGGTTTGTCGTGGAGAGCGTAAAGGTGAATTACAGAAAAGAAACTTGTTTATAACATTTCAATAATTTTGCCCCTTTTTGTTGAATTTTTAAATGAGAAAAACAGAATGAATAAAATAGATATCGCAAAGTCAATTTTCCGCCATATAGAAGTTAGACATGACGGCTATTTCAAAGTCAAAAACAAGGGGTGGTTTCTCCCCTAGTTTTGCAAGAGACAAAGGACAAGAAGTTCGATCTAGGACGATAATGAAGTTCATTTCATTTGTTCTCTCCTTTCCTTTGCCCAAAAGGTGATAGGGTTCCTTTTTTCTCTTTTTTTTTTTTTTGGAAAATAAAGGTGATGGGGTTGAAAGTGAAATATCATCAGCTCTTCCATTTATAAAAAATAAATGAATGAACAAAAACCCGTTCATCCAAATTTGGATTTTTTAAACTTATTGACACACTTTTAACACAGTCTTTTAAGAAATAATTAAGATATTAACTTTAAACTTTGACTCTAGCTTATTAAACAAAAATAAACAAATGGATTAATATACAGCATCTGACTATGAAGAACTGTCTCCAATGAGATTAGGCAAGTAATAATTAGGTTTGTGTGTGTGTCCACCTTTGTGTTAGATACAGAAAAAGGATAGGTGACTAATAACAAATTAACATCTAGAAGACAGAAATTCAAATGACAAAATACATTACCTTTTGTGGTCAGAGTAATTTCCAAGAAAAGAAAATAAATGATTAAGACAATGCGTCACTAGGTGCATGAATTTTCTTCTGCTTTTCTTTTGTCCTCCCTCTTTTGGGAATACCAAAGTGGCGCCCTTGTTTTTATAGGTTGTGAAGATGATGATGATGCTTAGTTTGTGTACAATATATTCCTCGCTTTAACCTACCCCCAACTTTACTTTTATATTGTTAACGATCTTCTTTCTCTATATAGCTTGTTTAGATGACGTTTTGATTTTAGTATTTCAAAATAGACAAGCACTTAAATTTTTTTTAATATTTTTTGCTTCGATTTTTTTTTTATTCATTTCAAAAAATATTTATCGATAGAATGAGGTGGATAATATTTGTCAGTATTTTTTACACCACTAAAATGAAAAAATAGTAATGTGAAAAAAAATAGATAATAAATGATAACTATTTTCCTAAAAACCCATTGTAAGGATTGGAAATATTTTCATAAAATGTCTAAGTTGCGATCTAACTTCATTTTCGTTGACAATTTAAAAACATGATTAGACCAAGTCTTTAATGCATGTATACAATAATCTTGAACCAATTTTACATGATTAGAATTAGATTAAAGAGAAATTTTGAATCATAATTCATTGCACAACTTCCCTTTTGTATTGATTAGACCAAGGAGATAATTGATTTGTAGGCTCTAATCATCAAATATCTAGCCATCATCATCCCCTTCATTTCGTTCATGTTATTATCAATGTTAATGCTCATCCCCGGTACATTGTATT